AGAGAAAGAGAGAGAGAGAGAGAGAGAGAGAGAGAGAGAGAGAGAGAGAGAGAGAGAGAGAGAGAGAGAGAGAGAGAGAGAGATGCCGGATTCTCTCACCCGATTCACTACTTGAAAAACAGGTGGAGAAATGCGTCGTTGCGAAACCTTTCACCTCATGCTAGTTCCCACGTAACAAGCAAAGATGAGAAAGGTGACACACGAGGCGTCGCCGCACGGCACACGAAAAAGAAAAACGAAACGAGTGCATGTTCCGGCAGAAAATGGCCAGGTTCATCGGTTTGCTATAAATAGTAACGACTGTATTTCGCCACCTCTCGTGGCCAGCAGATGCACTAGTTTCCTTTTCGTTTCGTGTGCCGTGTGGCGAGGCCCACGGACGGCGTCCCAGATCGCCCATGATGGCTGTATTGAGGTGAACGGCACGGGGGATAAGTTAAGCCTAGCCCAGTCCTGCACCTATTTATTCACCTGCAAGGCTGCAATATCTGTTTCCGGCCCTCTATGAAATAAACGTTGCCTTGTCAGGCACTGCAGGCAGGCATAGACTCCCTGCTCTCCCGCTTTTCCTCGCTCCCAGTCTACCTCCCAACCCCCTTGTCCGAATACATTCCATCCCTCTGCCACGCCATCGTCCGGAGGGATACTAACAGGCACAGCAATCCTCAGCCACGCGTGCAATCAGACTCAGCGACCCTTCAAAGCTATCTCTGACCACCTCTTTTTTACCCTTGCGAATGTAGTCTGAAATGCGTACTTGTACACATTCCCATTTTGTTGTGCCTGTTAGAATTGACCCTTCAGAGCTATCCCGTGAACAGTGAACACCTCCCTTTGACACGCGTTCAATCAGACTAAGCGACCCTTGAGAGCTCTTCTCGTCATTGGCAACAAGACGGGAAGGAAACAGGGGGCAACGTCCCGCATTACGACGAGACTCAATGGAATCTGATATGAGTAGTTATACTGATTGATTCATTGATTGATTGACGTAGAATTCATTGATTGATTGAGAATGCATTACGACGAGACTCAATGGAGTCTGAAATGAGTAGTGATACTGATTGATTCATTGATTGATTGACGTCGAATTCATTGATTGATTGAGAAAGTGGAACGGCGGGAAGTTATAGGCCTCGATAATCTGTCAATCAATTCGGTTCGACTGATTGATTCCTACACTCTATTGAATAATTAACTGATAATGTTAACTGATTGAATCATTTGATTAGTTAATGTACCAGTTTGTCCTCCCTCGAAAGAGGGCCAAGCAAAAGATGCAAGATTGTAGTCAGTTACAGACGGCATGGGCGAGGGGAGCAAAGAGCGAACGAGAAAAATTGATATCCGGAGCAATACAATTAGATCAAGCGAGAAAGACAACGCAACTGACCAGTCGATCAATCAGTCAATTTGAAAAAAAAGTTTGATGTATGATTTTTACGAAAAGAGGGTATTGTTCAAGCGAAACTGAAAAATCAAATCAAAGTGGCCAGCGGACAAAACCAAAAGAACATAAAAGCAGAGGCCAAAGCACACGAGCAGATCAATCAATCAATCAATCAATCAATCAAATCATCCATCAATCAGTCAATCAATCAATCAATCATTCAAGCAATCACATCAATCAACCAATTAACCAATCAATCAATCAATCACCCGATCAATCACCAGATCAATCATCATCCACAAGATCAGTTACGAACCTCAACAGATCATGATGATCACAATCACATCATCAGTAAGGTATGTGTTCCCGCACAAACTAGTATGCCTGCGGAAAGTTCTATATCCCGCTAGCGAACAACATCAAAGGTTTGCCGTGGAGAGGCACTTTTTCCCGTCAGCTTGCTCGCTTGCTTGACTGAATTCACGCACGTGGGCGAGGGCCCGGAGGAGGGACAGTTCGGGACTCGGGAATCTGATTCTCTGCTTACTCTGTTCCGCAAACTCAAAGCAAGGATGATTTTCTTGACCTATGAGTACCTCCCATACCACACCCGTTTGGTGTTGAGCGCATCTGCAGGCAGGTGATGGGCTCGAAATCTGGATCCAACGAGGCGGGAGGGACGGTCACTAATCGCTCAGTCCACCTGTGATACATTCCTCACGTTTTTCCCCCTCCGCCCCTCTCTCTCTCTCTCTCTCTCTCTCTCTCTCTCTCTCTCTCTCTCTCTCTCTCTCTCTCTCTCTCTCTCTCTCTC